ATATTACATTTATCTGCACTGCACTTAGCAGCTAAGTCTTTACTGGTACTACTCAAATCTGGAAAAATGTGACAGTACCATTCACATTGGTGTAAAATCGCCAGTGAGTCCTTCTCAATCTCCTTGGTAGATTCTTTGTCTTCTGCTCAGTCTTTAAAGGTTGGGCTTCCTTAAGGTTCCATACAAGAGCCTCTTTTCACTCTATGTAGTGTGACCTCAACCAGCTCCATAGCTTCTTTCTCCACTTTCTTGAGATATCTCTTCAGTCTGTATCTGCCTCTAGACATTGCCTGGGGATATAGGCCACACATCCAACTGCCTTTCAGACATCTCTGCTTGGATGTTGGAGAGGACATCTCAAAAGCATCATCTCCCAAACTGAGCTCATCATCTCATTCACTTTCTCCAAACCTGCTTCACTACGAGCTTTTCCTCTTCTGAGTGTATGGTGCCATTGCTCATCCAGGTACTTAGAGGCAGCAATTGGTGTTCCTTGGTCTTTCCTATCAGGTCCCATAATAATCAGGCTTTTATGAAGATGAGCAGATACTTTTGCCTTCTTTTGGGGAACTGCTTCTGTGTCTTTTTTTTGATGGTCATGGGACTTGAACTCGGCCTGGGCACTGTCCCTGAGCTTTTCAGCTCAAGGCCATAGTGCCAGTTCTAGTTTTCTGGTGGTTAACTGGCGAGTCTCAAAGACTTTCCTGTTCCGGCTGGCTTTAAGCCTCAATCCTCAGATTTCAGCCTCCTGAGTAGCTAGGATTACAGGCATGAGCCACTGGTGCCCAGTGCTGTGCCTTTTTATTCATTACTTTTAGTCTTATTGCTTAGGATTACAGGCATGAGCCATTGGTTCCTGGTTCCTGTGTCTTCCTCCAGTCCTATGTCCTCTTGTCCTTGTGACTGTGTGAGTGTGTAAGACTATATGTCAAGTTCCTTGCTGCTCCTGGAGCATTCAGAATCCTACTTCCTCCTAAGTGTCTGGTTCTCCTGCTAACCTTAGTGTCAGTGACCCTCTGCTCTTCTTAACAGCATTCCTTTTCCCCACTGATCCATTAGAAAAACTGAAGACCCTTTACTTTCCATTCCTTGTTGGGTCTTTGCATATCTGTGGTCTTTTATTGTTTCCAGAATACGAATTCCCCCAGTCCTGTACTCTGAGCCAGGCTCTTAAAATATTTATGACTGCCTCCTCTACTGCATTGCCTTCTGTTCTCAGGGAATCCATGATGCAGCTTTTGTCAGAGGTTTGGTTTTAGAGTGTGTTTTGGGAACACATTTAACCCAGCTCTTCTGTATCAGCTCCTGTTCTTGCCCACCAAAGTGCAGAGGGTTGGCTCATTTGCTGATGCATTTACTACTGGGACCAATGACCAATATTTGGTTTTGCTTTCCTAAAAAATTCTGGAAGGGAATGAAATCTCCTCTCCTTCTGGTAGCATGTCAAACATATGGCTCTTTGAAGTTACACAAGGAATTGTGATTAACATGTATTGCATGCCCAACGTGTGCCAGACCCTCGCTGGTTCTCTGCAGTTGCTATTGCATCAAACCTTTACCATTTGCTCTAAATTATTTTTGTTCTACATTCCAGGGACCTGAGGTTTAGGAAACACTTTGCCTAAAAGTTTGCCTAAAAGGTTTAGGTACACTTTGCCTAAAAGTGTACCTCTTTTCTGTCCCAACCACCTGTACTGAGGATTCAGCCCAGAGTCTTGTCCTGTACATACTAAGCAAACTAGGCAAGTGCTCTGTCACTTGAGCTATTTCCCTGTCCTCCTTCCCTTGCTCCCTCCTCTCCCTTTCCCTCCCCGCTCCCTTTCCCTCTCCCTTTCTCTCCCTCTCCTTCCTCCTCCCCCTCCTCCCCTTGCTTCCCTTCCCCTCCCCTTCCCTTCCTGGCTAGTTATTTGTGTTTATGACACACAGCTTCTCTGGAACATCCATGATCCCAGGATGACTGTATTTCTTTCTGTATGGCTCTGCTTCCTCCTGCTTCCCTCCTAAGTAGCTAGTATTACAGGTGTGAGTCACCAAAGCCTGACTAAGTTTCTTATTCTTCAATGATTTTGCTCCCCCAGGTAGGTGTAGCTCTGTCCTCTCTACCCACCCTCATTTTCTGGTTCTTCTAGCTTCCTGGTATCTGACTCTGTGCTTGTATTCTTGATTCCAGTGGGAACCTAGCACTTAAAACTCCTCTATGTGTCTATGAGCCTCCATGGCCCTTGCTAAGGTATCTGTGCACCAGCTTCCAACACAGCCTCCATGATATTTTTCCAGACTCTCTGGCCTGATGTCTCAGTTGCCCATGGTAGTTTCTCCCCTTCTCAACATCATTGTTCATCAAGGATCTTTTCTTACCTTACTTCTTACTTACTACTCCCTGGGCACTGCCAATACTATCATGCTGTTCATGTTGTGACTTTTAAGCAGGATGTATGATGACTCCCTGGTTGCTGACTCTGGAATATTCTTTTTAATTGCCTCCTTGTATCTTTAATTTATGCCTTGTAGTTACTTCAACCTTGGCAGGCCCAATAGTGGAATTTACTTCATCTCTGCTTGCTCCTTCATGGGCCTTCTGCTGTCATTTCCTGCCTTGATTAATAATATTGCTGTATGCTACCACCAAGCTCACAATCTAGAAAACGTAAGAGACATTATCATACTTCATTCTCTCACATCTAATATTCAATTGACTTTTAGGTCTTCCTGATAGATTCTACCTCAGACATACCTTTCCAAGGGCTGGAGGTGTGGCTCAAATGGAAGTACTAGGCTCTACATTCAAACCTTAGTATCTCATGCACATACTCTCACTCACCCACCCTCCTCCCTTAGAAGCCTATGCTTTTTATTCTGTCTGCCCTGCTTTAGCTCAGGCCTTCCATTCTTTCCTGGACTATATGGATGACTTTAACTAGCCTCATTATCATTATTATTACTATTAGTGATACTATTTTTTAAATAAGTTTTTAATTGTGAAAATACTGTACAGAGGGGTTACAGTTACATGAGCAAGGGAATAAGTACATTTCTTATCAAGCATTGAAGTGATTCTATATTTATGGCAGGGTTTCACTATGTAGTCTAAGTTGCCCCTGAGCTTATAACTCTCTGTCTTAGCCTCCCAACTGCAGGGAATATAGATGTGATCCATCATATCCCATCTAGTATGATCTTATTAACTGAAGATGTCACTCTCCTTAAAGTTTCTGCAGTTTTACTTTTTATAAGATGAAGTACAGACTCTTCACAGTTGAGTGCCTTTCTCTATACCTTCAGCTTTACCTCTGCTTACTTGCTCTGCCTGGAAGTTCTTTTGCCTTTCTGGGCTTCAGCCACAAGTGTCCTACCTGCTTGAACATGGCTCCCCTTTTTGCTGTCTGCTTGACTTTCTTCCTGAAATTCTCCTATCTGGCAAATTTCCTTCCTTTGTTCTTTGTTCCTTCTCTCCCTCTCTCTCTTCCTCCCTCCCTCCCTTCCTTCCTTCCTTATGTGTACAGGTACTGGGGCTTGAATGCAGAGCTTGGGTGCCATTCTTTAGATTTTTGCTTAAGGCTGGCACTCTACCACTTGAGCCACAGCTCCAACTTTTTGCTGGTTAATTAAAGATAAGAACTTCACAGACTTTCCTGCCCATGTTGGCTTTGAATGTGATCATCAGGTCTCAACCTCCCAAGTAGCTAGTATTACAGGTGTGAGCCACCAAAGCCTGGCTAAGTTTCTTATTCTTTTTTTTTTTTTTTGGGTCTGTCGTGGGGCTTGAACTCTGGGCCTGGGTGCTGTCCCTGCGCTCTTCAGCTCAAGGCGAGTGCTCTACCACTTGAGCCACAGCGCCACTTCTGGTTTTCTGGTGGTTTATTGGAGATAAGAGTCTCACGGTCTTTCCTGCCTAGGCTGGCTTTGAACCTCGATCCTCAGATCTCAGCCTCCTGAGTAGCTAGGATTATAGGCGTTAGCCACTGGCGCCTGGCAAGTTTCTTATTCTTTAAAGATTTTGCTTGCCTAGGTAGATGTAGCTGTGTCTTTACCCACCCTTATTTTCTGGTTCTTCTAGCTTCCTGGTATCTGACTCTGTGCTTACATTCTTGATTCCAGTGGGAACTCCTCCACGTGTCTATGACTATCTACTATTTTGATTCAATTTTTTCCTGTTTGTGTCTGAGCTCTTAGCAGTGTTGTTCAGGGCAGCCATATTTCTCTCCCATTCAGCCCACAGAACAGCCCCTCCTTTCCATCCTAGAGTGTTTGTGATTCTCTCTTCTCCATTATCTACCACTCCTAGAGTGCCTCTGCCCCTCCCCTGTCAGGAAGGGAGGACTTGGTTCCTCTGTCGCTTTCCCCAGCGTCTGTGAAACCTCTACCCATTCATTCTGTCAGTTGATAATTCTCAAATAAGGCTCTGACCACTTGCATTAGAATAACTGTAACTGCTATTTGAAGTACAGTTTGTTGGAACACCCCCAACTCTACTGAATGGGAATTGCTGGGCCTAGAAATCTGCATTCGATCAAGTCTCCCCATGATTCTAGTACTCTGTAGAGTTGTGTGTATAGTAACACCAAGGGATGTTCAGAAAGCACACTAGTTTCCTCAGACTTTATCACAGTGTAGAACTTGAGTAAGATTTGGGATGGACACAACACAGTGCTCTTCTTGGGGAGTTAGAATACAATGAGCATATTACAGGGTTACTTTAAGATAAAAAAAAACCCCAGATAACCTGATTTCCACTCAAGAGGCCTTTACTGTTCTTTCATACTGATTGACATTCTGGCACAGTTTTCACTTTATCGTTGATCTCCTTACTATTTCTGAGCAGTGTTTCTCTGCTTACTGTAAGTCTTATGAGGCCTGTGATGTGCTTAGTGGTGCCTGGCACTTGCTGGATGCTCAGTCCTGACAGTGGCTGCCCTGCTTTATCCCCTGCCCTGCCTATAACTGCTTTTGCTTCCTTCAGTGGGTCTCTGACAAATGCTTTTCTTCCTGTCACCCTACAGGGGGGATCCTCTATGCTGCCACAGTGAAGAACTACCTGGGGACACTGCCGATTATCTCTCGGGCTGTGGGTCTTGCTGAGGACTGGATTCGTACAGAAACCTTGCTGTCGTGGCTTAATGGTGGGGAGAGAGAGGGGGGTCTTCTGGGAGACAAACTAAGGGGAAGCTGGGTGGTCCTAGGCTGTGTCCAGGGGAGATCTGAAACCACTGGTCTCCCCAGCCCCAGCCTTTGTCTCAGCCATGGTCTTGAGCCCAGCCGAGTGGGGGGATGAAGATGGAGATGATGAAGTCTACTTCTTCTTTACGGAGACCGCCAGAGTGTTTGACTCATACGAGCTCATTAAGGTCCCACGGGTGGCCCGAGTGTGTGCGGTGAGATCCTTAGCTCCCCTGTTGGTTGTGTCTCCTGCTGTCTGCTGTCTCCTGCGGTCTGTCCTCCTGTCCTTGCCTCTCTTGGTCTGACTTTGCAGTTGTCATGTTTGCTTTTTTTCCTCTGCCTTGACTTCCTCCCTGGTTGCTTAAGGAATGTGGAGAGGAGGAGCAATGGTCTCTGACCCCCATTACCTTTTATTAATACACTGTCTACGGGAGGTGGACTTGTATAGATTAAACGTAGGAAATGGTGATAGACAGACCTGGGTTCAAGTCCTGTTCTACCCACTTACTGCCTCTGTGACCCTGGACAGATTCTTTAGCATCTTTGAAAATCATCTGTCAAATGGGCATTATAATAACATTGACCTATAAGGGTTGTTTTGAGGACTAAAAGAGTAACTTCTGTAAAATATGCCTTAGTATGGTACTAAGTAAGTGCACAATTGGCTTAGTCACTATGTTACTGTGACTCCATCTACTTGGGTATCTCATTATCTTCAGTTTGTTAGTCTGTATGTCTGTCCTTGCTTCCCTCCCCTCTCCCCCCACCCACAGTCGTGGGTCTAAACTCAGCTTGGGCACTGTCCCTGAGCTCTTCAGCTCAAGGCTAGCGCTCTACCACTTGAGCCACAATGACACTTCTGGCTTTTTCTGTTTATGTGGTGCTGAGGAATCGAGCCCAGGGCCTCATGCATGCAAGGCAAGCACTCTACCACTGAGCCACCTTCCCAGCCCCTCTGTCCTTGCATTTTTATGCCCATCTTCCCATCAGTATATATCTGTGTGAAGTCAGGGAGGAATTTTGCATTGGTTTCTGCACTCTCTGCCCAATGTTGGTCTTCTCAAAAGAATTTCCCATGTGCTTGTTGCTTCAGGGGGACCTTGGGGGCCGGAAGACCCTCAAGCAGAGGTGGACAACATTTCTGAAGGCTGACCTTCTATGTCCAGGGCCTGAGCATGGCCGGGCCTTCAGTGTCCTACAGGACATGGCTGAGCTTCGACCCGAACCTGGAGCAGGGACCCCAGTCTTCTATGGCATCTTTTCCTCCCAGTGGTGAGGGGTCTTGGTGTGGAGGAGAGTGACGGGGTGGGAGATACGTGGCTTTGGAATGGTGTTGGTGCTGTCTCCTTCTGAGTGGATGGACTTCCTGGGTTGGATAGCTCCCATGAATTTCTTGGATATGTCAGGTGACTTGATAAGGGATGAGCTATTCCGTTCTGTGGGAAGCTATCCCTCTAGATATCAGGTCTCAACCTTTGTCTCTTACAGGGAAGGGGCTGTTGTTTCTGCTCTCTGTGCCTTCCTACCCCAAGACATTCGGACAGCACTGAATGGTCCCTTCCGAGAGCTAAAACATGAGTGCAATAGGGCAATGCCTGTCATAGAAAGTGAAGTACCTCAGCCTAGACCTGGACAGGTGAGGTGTTTATCCCAGGCCTGAATTAAAGAGCTGTTTTGTGGTCAAATGCGATGCTGAAATTACTGACACATCCTGTTCCCAGGGAAGCGTGGTCACTCGGCCCTTTGTTTCCTCTAGTGCATCACCAACAATAGGAAGCTGCAGCAGTTTAGCTCATCGCTCTCCCTGCCTGACCGTGTGCTCACCTTCATCCGGGACCACCCGCTCATGGATAGGCCAGTTGATGGCCAACCCCTGCTGGTTACTACAGATACAGCTTATCTCAGAGTCGTAGCCCACAGGGTGACCAGCCTCTCAGGGAAAGAATATGATGTGCTATATCTGGGAACAGGTATACTTACGAGTTTAGAAGTTGCCCAGTTAGTTCATCATCTCACTACAGAGATGATTCCTAATTCATTACCTACAGGCCTCAGAGCCCCAGGCACAGGGCTAGTTATGTCATTCTTTTTACCTCTTCCCTGTCTACTAGAGGATGGACACCTCCACCGAGCAGTGCACATCGGAGCACAGCTCAGTGTCCTTGAGGATCTGGCCTTGTTCCCAGAGCCACAGCCGGTTGAGAACATGAAATTGTACCACGTGAGTTATAGATTTCCAGTCATGTGGCATCTGAATCTTGAGCCAATTAATGATCCCGAGCTCCTGGAGATCCAATGCATTCCTCTGCTCTGTTCCTCTTCTGTAGGGATGGCTCCTGGTTGGCTCCCGTTCTGAGGTGACACAAGTAAACACGACCAACTGTGGTCGCCTCCAGAGTTGCTCAGAGTGTATCCTGGCCCAGGACCCTGTCTGTGCCTGGAGCTTCCGGCTAGATGCATGTGTGGCCCATGCTGGTGAGCACCGAGGGTGAGTATGTTATACTGCTCGCTTGCCCTGTCTATATGTCTGTTTTTCACCCACAAATGCCACCTAGTCCCTGTGTATTTTCTTCTTCTGTTAGTATCTACATTACTTGTCTCATCTGTCAGCCCATGCTAACTCATTTGTCTATCTGATGCTGCCTAACTAATGTCTTCAGCTCTCTGCTACAGCTAGAGCTGTCCTGACAGTGAGACTGAGTCCATATCAGAGACTGAGTCCTTTTCAGTCACTGACAGACAGACAGTGGTACTGATTCTATCTCTGATAGACACTTCTTGGTTTCCATCTTCTAAGAGCTCTGGGCAGTGTTTGCATGGTTAATCACACCCTCCTTCCCTGATATCTTCTTTTCCTTTTGCTTTCCGTGACTCCACATTCTCCTCTTACCTTACTGATTTCTTTCTCATTCAACTACTGAAAGTTAATGAGTTTAGTTCTAGACCCCTTATTTTATACTTCTGCACACTCTCTAAGTGATTTTATTTTTATTATTTTCATTCAAGTGCTGATGATAGTCACAATAGATGAGATACAGAATTTTCTAACATACTTCATCTGCTCTTTGAACGTTCAAGAGCAAACAAAATTAGCAAGTCCAACTTACATTAGCAAGTTCTGCTTCAAACGTAGCAAGTCTAAGTGCCCTGATGTTTCTTCCTCTTTTCCTTGCATGCTTCTCTTTTGGTTCTCTTCATTTCAGCAAAGGGATCTATGCTTAGGCGAGATACTGCCTACATTGCATTGCAATTCATACTGATTCTAGCTCAAAAATGTTCTTCAGTGTCTCCCTTTCTTTCCACTTCCACTGCTATCACTCAAGTCCAAGCCATCATCACTTTTTAACTGGACTACTCCAATTTCCCAATTGATCTCCTCTTATCCATTTGGGCTCCTATAATTCACTTGCTACTCAGAAGATAACATAATATAGATCATGTGGAAGCCAACCCTTGACATTGTATTTATCCTAAATACTTTAACCTAGTCCTTATCTCTTAAAATATTTTATTGTAGGAAATTTCAAACATAATCAAAAGTAGAGAGATTAATATAATGAATTTTAAATGTCTACCACTCAGCTTTATAATCACCAATTCCTGGCTAGTCTTGTTCATCAATACTCCCAATTATTATTATTATTATTTTTGGGTCTGGTCGTGGGGCCTGAACTCTGGGCCTAGCCACTGTCCTTCAGCTCTTCAGCTCAAGGCTAGCACTCTACCACTTGAGCCACAGCGCCACTTCCGGCTTTTTTCTTTTTTCTTTTTGCATGCCTCAGGCATGCAAGGCAAGCGCTCTACCACTGAGCCAACTTCCCAGCCCTACTCCCAATTATTTTGAAGCAAATCTTAGATATCAGATCACTTTATCCAAATAACATCTATTAACTCTAATGGGTTTATGTGTTTTTAAAGATGAAATCCCTCTTCAATCTTGAATTGAGATCCATTAATGAAGTGTGTGTGTGTGTGTGTGTGTGTGTGTGTGTGTGTGTATGTATGTGTGTACTGGGGTTTGAACTGAGGCCTTATCTCTTGCTTGGCTTTATAGTTCAAGGCTGGCACACAACCGTTTGAAGCTACACCTCCACTTCCCATTTTTTACTGGTTAATTGGAGATAAGAATCTCTTAGATTTTATGCCTGGGGTGGCTTTGAACTGCAATCCTCAAACCTCAGCTTTTTGAGTAGCTAGGATTACAGGTATGCGACACTGATGCCTGATATAATGAAGTACTTAGATCAATTGTTTGGAAAGTGTTTTCAAACTATCCTTGAGGTTCCCTATTTTAAAGCGCAGTCATTTACAATATATAGAACCTGTAAATGTATATGTAACCCTCATGAATTACAGAACTACAAGGTTACAAATCTTTTAGAAGCATATATACTTTCTTTGGGAAATAAAATAGATTAATTTACATACCAACACAGAAATAAAATGTTTAAAATGATAACAAACATGTAAGTACACTAGTCATAAAATTTAATTTTGTTTTCAGATGGTTATTTTGAGTTGAAAGTGTAAAATTTTATGCTAGCTCTTGATCGCACTTGGCATTTTGCCAACCAGGGATATAAATAACTTGAGTGGCAGGCTTCGAAGCAGTGCATTTTAGGTTAAGAATTTTGGTCCCATCTTTTAGTTTTTGGAGAAAGAACTTTTAATTCTCTAAAACAGAAACAAATACTTTATTTTTCCTTTATTGTTTTAGTGTTTTTAAAATATAAATTTCACTAGTCTTAGCTCCCAGGGTCCTTAAGATATATGTATGAACTTACAGAGGAAGGAAAGAAGAGAGGAAGAACAAGGTGGTGGTGGTGGTTGGGGAGGCATATATATGCCAGAGCACTGGGTTGATACATCTGTATATTCTACCCTCCATTTATCAATTCACAGATAAGAGAAAAGTGTAGAGTACAAGGTTTCTGTGACTATAGCTATATATATGTCCCACATTCACCATGTCCACTGGACAAACGAGGCTTGTGGATTTGTTTTGTGTATGGTACTGAGGTTTGAACTCAGGGCCTTGTGCTTGCTAGGAGGTACTCTTAACTCTAATATTTTTTATATGATCATTTTTGAAATAAGGTCTTACTTCTTGCCTAGGTGTGTGCTTGGATTTCAGTCTTCCTATTTTTTACTTCCTGTTGTAGCTACGATGATAGGCACATGCCACTGTGCCCAACTTTTGGATAGAGACTTGAAGCCAGCCTGAACAGGCCTTAAAGTGTGATCCTCCTGATCTCAGCTACCTATGTAGCTAGAATGACAGGTGTATACCACCATACCCAGCTATGGGATAAGAAGGGATCTTGTCACAATTTAAAAAAAAATTAAAAAAAGAAGGGGTCTTGTAAACTTTTCTACCTTGATTAGCTTCAAACTATGATCCTCTGTATGTCAGCCTCTCAATTAGGCTAGGATTACAGGTTTGAGCTACTGGTATTCACTTCTAATCTTGGTTTTATAAGAACTTTTCACCTTCTCATACCAGTCTTGGAGCTCATTTCAGGGATATCAATTGTTCTGTAGTTCTTATATAGTCTATAGTTTTATAATTTTTCCCCAGTGAATTCTTGTGGCTGTGGACAACCAGGTCCATTTTTAGGTGATTCTCTTTCCTTTCCTGTTTTTGTTTTTTGGGGTTTGAACTCAGGACCTGAAGCCAGGCAAGCATTCTACCACTTGAGCTGTGCCTCCATACCTTTTTTGCTTCAGTTATTTTTTGAGTAGCATCTCATATTTTTCCCTAGGCCAGTCTCAACCACGATCCTCTGATGTATACCTCCTGCATAGCTGAGATGACAGATGTGTACCACCATATCCAACTTTTTCTCCTGAGATGGAGGTCTCATTTTTCTTTTGAAGTGAACATATTGTCTAGTCTGGCTTCAAGCTGTGATCCTGCTGATCTCTGCCTTCCAAGTAGCTGAAGTCACTATGTAGCCCAGACTGGATGCAAACTCTTTATCTTTCTGCCTGTCTCTTGCATGCTGGTATTACAGGCATGCACCACCATACTTGGCTTCCTTTTTCTTTTAAAGTACAACTACCAAACATCTTCCTAATAGTGCATGGTCTGCTAGAAATATATGTGTAGATTTTTTTTGGTCAGTCGTGGGGCTTGAACTCTGGACTTGGGCACTGTCCCTGCGCTCTTCAGCTGAAGGTGAGCACTCTACCACTTGAGCCACAGCACCACTTCTGGTTTTCTAGTGGTTTATTGGAGATAAGAGTCTCACGGACTTTCCTGCCTGGGCTGGCTTTGAACTATGATCCTCAGATCTCAGCCTCCTGAGTAGCTAGGATTACAGGCCACCGGCGCCTGCCATGTGTAGAATTTTTTTTTTGCCAGTCCTGAGGTTTGAACTCAGGGCCTGGGCACTGTCCCTGAGCTTCTTTTGCTCAAGGCTAGTACTTTACCACTTGAGACACAGCACCACTTCTGGCTTTCTCTGTTAATGTAGTACTGAGGAATTGAACCCAGGGCTTTACCCATGCTAGGCAAGCACTCTACCACTAAGCCACATTCCTAGCCCTCTGTGTAGAATTTCACATGACAGATGTCATGAGGAATATAGGAGTCCTGGGGAAATATTTGCTGATGAGGAGAATGTAGACTGAGATGACCGAGGGTATAATGAATGAGTGGGTGTTTCGTAGGTACTGAGGAGGTTGAAGTGAATGTTGACATTGGATTTACCAAATATTCTCTTCTTTGTAGGCTGGTGCAAGACATCGAGTCAGCAGATGTCTCTTCTTTGTGTCCCAGAGAACCTGGAGGTTTGTATGGCTTAGATAAGTGTGGGTGGGGTAGATAGGAAAGGATTAGAAAGTTGTCCATTTTATACACACTTACTTGGGTCCTGAAAGACAGGGTGGCTAGTGACTCAGGGCCTGACCCTCTTTGGGAATCTCCTTTATTGGCATTTTTCCCTCTGGCCCTGTCTCATGTTTGACATCACCCTGTACTTCTCTCTATCACCCTCCCGTTATATCACCCTCCCTCTCTAGCCTCATGCCCTTTGTGCTTCATCAGCGAAAGCCTTATCACCTTTGTGCCTCTGCTGTCTCTCCACAGAACATCCAGTAGTGTTTGAAGTTCCTGTGGCCACCGCTGCACATGTCGTCTTACCGTGCTCCCCCAGCTCAGCCTGGGCATCCTGTGTGTGGCACCAGCCCAGTGGAGTGACCTCACTCACCCCCCGGCGGGATGGGCTAGAGGTGGTAGTGACCCCAGGAGCTATGGGTGCTTATGCCTGTGAATGTCAGGAGGGTGGGGCAGCCCGTGTGGTGGCGGCTTACAGCTTGGTGTCGGGCAGTCAGCGGGATCCTCCGAGCCAGGCTCACACGGTGGGGGCTGGACTGGCTGGTTTTATCCTCGGGGTTCTTGCAGCATCCCTGACTCTCCTCCTCATTGGTCGAAGCCAGCAGCGACGCAGACAGAGGGAACTTCTAGCTAGAGACAAGGTGGGCTTAGACCTGGGGGCTCCACCATCTGGGACTACAAGCTATAGCCAAGACCCTCCTTCTCCTTCTCCTGAGGATGAACGGCTGCCCCTCGCTCTGGCCAAGAGGGGCAGTGGCTTTGGTGGTTTCCCTCCACCCTTCCTGCTTGATCCTTACACTAGTCCAGCTCACATTCGGCTAACAGGGGCTCCTCTAGCCACGTGTGATGAGACATCCATCTAGAGCTGAGCAAATGACCGCTAGTATATGAGTGATCACAGGAATTAAGAGAGACCAGGGCTGCTGGGCATAGAAGATCATCATGGCCTATCAGTTCTGTGAGTGTAAGTAGTCACCTAGACTTCAGTGTGTGCCCTCTCCAGGCCTGGCTGGGTTTACAACCAAGCCTTTGCCTAATTGCTGATTCCCATGAGAGATCAGAATTACTCTTTGCAATAGGTTGGGATTGCCTCCCACCCCTCAGCCCCTATGGCCCTTCAGACTTGGTTTTCTATCTTGGGCCCACCAGTTTTGGAGATGGGATACAGGGCATAGCTCTGATTTGGTTTTCCAATGAGCCCTGGATGGAAGGTGGTTAGGGGCTGTTGTGCACTGAGTCCTTGGGTGGTCGTACTGATTCTCCAGTTTAGCTGATTCTCCATGGGGAGTGCATGATCCCCAGGCATAACCTGGAGTCTGTCCTGAGACCTCTCCCATCCCAACTTCTCTTTTTCCCTGAAAGGAAGTGTGTAAATAATTGGTGTTCATATGCATGAATGACTTGGGCCTGATGCTTAGGTGCTTTAGAGGGGTGGAGAGGGGAAGGCTAGAATGGAGGGCAATGCCTGCTGAACTTTTCACCATATTGCCAGTGAGGGAAACAAAATACCACCCCTCTCCCCATTATCCCACATTGCTTCTCTAAATTTGAATAGAGAAAAGCTCCCAAAGTGACCTTCTGGGTAGGAAGCGCAGTGGTACCTGTGACCCCATCTTTCTCTCTGTTTTTGCTCCTTGGCTGTCACCACTGCCAGCCTCAGCTGCTCTTTCCTTAGCTAGAGGGTAGGTTGAGCCTCTTTTCCTTGGCTCCCATTAAAAACACACACACACACACACACATACCCAAACTTCATAACATTCTAAATATTAAGGGGCAACAGAAGGGGATCAGTCATAGGAATTACTTATAGATGGGTTTGTATCAGTGACTCTACTCAGGGTGATACCCTTGCCCTAAAGCAGAGGTCCCCTAGCTGGGGCCCATGAACTCCTTGTAATTGTATGTTAAAAAATGTCTGTACATGTGAGTCTGTATTTTTCTGGGGGGAAAGCTTTTGTGGCTTTCTTCAGATGCTCAAGGCCTTAACAAAAAGGACCACTGCCTGAGATTTACTACACGTGGGCCATGTCCAAATGAGTGCCATTATGTGGCAACTTGTCCTAGACTCAGCCTGCTGCCTGTGGCCAGACCCTGGACTTGTGGCTGCTGGATGCTGTTTCTCTAGTCCTTAGAAGTGGAGCTCTGTGTGTATTAGAAGATACTGTCAACTCTCACCAAAGTCCCAGGCCTCTTCCTGCTTCCTAAGTCCCACATGCTCTAAGCTTCTCCTGCTTAGTCCCGGTGTTGGCCTGTGAATGAATGTGCCTCGTTCATCCCCAGAAGACGCCCTCCAGCTCAGCGAATGGTCCAGCCCTTTCTAGCTGAAGTTTTCTGTTCTGCCTTGACAGCAGCCTGTGAACTACTCATGAGTCCCCTTGGGTTTGGGATTTTCAGTGACTTTGCTACTAATAAGCATATGATCTTCAGCATGTCATCTAACCTAGGGACATCAGTTTACTCATCTGGGTAAAGTGGGGATAATAATACCTACCTCAGGGTTGCTGCAAGGAATAAGTGAGAAACATGTAAACAATAAAGCACTATATCAGTAAATGTTGTTATTATAAACATTGGCTTATTATACCATAATCGTATAGCTTAACCATATAATAATCATGACACATGCAATAATTTTAAGGCCACATAGTGGAAAGTGGGCCAATGCCTCATATATCCTGCTCTGGGTCTTCCCTGGCCAGATCTTAGCAGCTAGTATTGAGATTTTAGGCAGATATAAGACTTTTATGCACATCAGATGTGGCTGACCTTTGTGACCTGCTGGTCACAAGAAGTGTGTTCTTGGTTTACCATCAAGGCAGCGCTAATAGCTTGAAGTTATAGATTGGTTCCACTTTGGGGAGAAAGTAGGAGGATGTTTGAGGGGACTATAGCCTCTATGGGGAGGGGGTGGAGAAAAGATTTTAAGATGAGGGACACTAGATCACAGTGGATTCTGTGGCTCTGGTTGGAGGAATAAGGAGTAAGGGATATGGAAAAATGAGGAAAGGGGGACATAGGTATGAAGGGGCAGGGGAGCCATATCTTAGTGGAAAATTTAAAGGTGAGGGATAGCATGGGAGTGCAAAACCAACTTCTGAAGAAATAGGATGAATAACTTGATTGCTTCATTGGCCTGTGGAGCTGTGGGTAGGGATGGTGCAGGGCTGGGTGACCAAGTTCTCTAAGGGAGGATTGTTAGGGCTCTGGCAGCCAGAGGCCTGCCTGATCTATACACGTTATACCAGTTGTGGTGAGGGCTTGTTGTGGCTTGTGTTTGTGTTATTCTTAGATCCCTAACATCGCCTCACTCTTAGCTACCCTTCTGCTGTTTCCTGGGTTCCTTGGTCCATAAACTGATTCTCAGCTTGTCACACAGCATCACTAGTTTGCTGATGCCAATGTGACTTTTCTAATGTGGAGAGAGACTCACTCTTGGCTCTTAGGAACCTGGACAGCTCTAGAATACCTCTGGTCCTCACTCCAACGCGAGTTAGATCAACTTCCCTCCTCAGGCCACTCCAACTCCCCTCTCCCCCCACTTTCCCCAGAAGCCCTGCAAGTTGACTGGTGTCTTCAGGGATGAAAGGAAAGAATACATTTCAATACCTGCTGGACCAGGACCTACCTAGGTTTTCTGTCCTGCCAGAATCAGTCATGATTCTTGGTTAGTAAAGCATAAATCTTTTCTTATGCATATGGTGGATAAAATCTGACCTTTTAAATAGTGACAGAGGCAAAGTTGGTCTTTAAAATGATTTTTTTTTCTTGTCGGTTGTGGGGCTTGAACTCTGGGCCTGGGTATTGTCCCTCAGCTCTTCAGCTTAAGGTTAGCACTCTACCACCTGAGCCACAGTGCCACTTCCAGCTTTTTCTGTTTATGTGGTGCTGAGGAATCTAACCTAGGGCCTCATGCATGAGAGGCAAGCACTCTACCACTGAGCTACTTTCCCAGGCCTAAAATGATTTTTTTGTTTTTTTTTGTCGATCGTGGGACTTGAACTCTGGGCTTGGGCGCTGTCCTTGTGCTCTTCAGCTCACAGCGAACGCTCTACTGCTTGAGCCACAGCTCCACTTCCAGTTTTCTAGTGGTTAATTGGAGATAAGAGTCTCACAGACTTTCCTGCCAGGGCTGGCTTTGAACCGCGATCATCAGATCTCAGCCTTCTGAGTAGCTAGGATTACAGGCATTAGTCACTGGCGCCTTGCGCCTAAAATGATTTTTAAAGATTGTTTTTCCCAAGTGAAGGGAAAACTAGCAATAAAAGTGTTAGGTTTTTAAAAACAGATAGCTGAGTAAGAACAGCACCAAGCACGTGGTTTTCAGGTAAGGGATAGGTTTATTCATCGTTCTGGCTGGCACCAGGCCATCTTGGCCCTCCATGCAGTGGGGAAAGGCCTGGGAAAGAGAGCTGGGAGAGCTGGGAAAGAGAGAGCTGGGAAAGAGCATCTGGGCCTGGGCTAGGCCTTATCTAGGGTATGGGTGGAGAAAAGTGTGGCCACATCAAATTCAGATGTGACCTCAGTGGATGCAGATGTAACCTCTTCCAGGTGTGCCAGTTGCCTAGGTAAGGCAGGTACTGGGTGGAGATTTTGCTGTGAGGAGGGTGGAGTCTGATCGCCATCCAGGAGCAGACCTTACAAAAAGCAACAAAAAAGAAATCTTTGTGCAGTATTCTGAGTCTCCCAGGTATAGACCTCTGTGTTAATTTTTTCATCTCTGTTACCAAATACTGAGAGAAGCAAGGTGAAGGAGAAACCATAAGTCTTTAAACTCATGGCTGGTTTCAGTTCACAGTTGACTGGCTCCATTGCTTTTAAGCCTGGGAAAGGCAGAAACATCTTGAAGGAAGGGCGGAGAAGGGAAAGTGGCTCATCTCATGGAAACCAAGAAACAAAGTTACAGGATGATCCTGGAGCCAAGATACACCCTTCGAAGGCACTCTTATAGCACTTCCTTCAGTACCCCTTCCATAGCTCCACCACTGCCTAATAGTCTGTTCAATTTTAATCCATCAATGGATTAAACTAAGTCAAAGTCCACATGATCTAATTGTGCCTAGAAATACTATCACAGACTGACCAAGAGTTGTGTTTTACTGATCTCCTAGATGTCTTTCTATTTAAGTTGATAAGAGAAACATACTTGTGTCTCAGTGACACGGTAAGTGTAAGGACAGTAGCTATCAGCTGTGTCCACCTGAATTGTTGTGAATTACTAGGTTTTGATTGTGATTGGACAGGGAAAGCAGTGGAGGGAATGATCTAAGTCCTTTGGCATGTTAGCTTGGGGCAAAAGTAGTTGGAAGAGATAAAGAGGTCAAGCTCCTAGGGCTGCTCTAGGCTCTTTGGAGAAATCAGTGTAAGTCATAAACTCTTGATTTCAAAGACTGCCAACTCATGGGACTGGAATTTCCCCAAGGTACACCAGGGCTGTAGATGAATTATAGACCCATCCTTGGTAAGTATGGTACGTCTTATCTGTGTCCCAGCTGGCACTAATCTTAGCAACTCCAGACATGGCTATGCTGAACTGTAAGCTAAAGGCTTTCACCATGTGCAGTTGGAGGAGGCACGTTGAAGGCTGGAGGAGTTGGCAACTGATGCTGGATCAAAGGACCCACATTTCGCTTCCAGGTTCCAGCAAGTCTGTTGAGTTGAACAGATTGGGGGAAAAATTCCTTCCAGATCTTAGATCTACCCCAGGTGTATTCATTGTTCCTCTTTATTTTTTTTGTATTTCTGATGCTTTTACTCTGGAGCCTTGCTGACTTTGAAAAGACTAGTTTAGAGGCAGTCAATTCCCAGAGACAGTAAAGAATTTACCCAACAGTAAGCCTTGATATGAACCCAACTAATCCAAAGCTATACCCAATGTCTCCTTCCTTGAGATCTCTCCTGATGCTTACCTCTGGGACAACATTCCTTTGCTCTAATCACTTCAAGGCCAGGTACTAGTGAATAAAGGCAGCCTGCTGGAATTATTCAAATGAACCAATCCTATGACTGCTTACCGTGCCTCACCTGTTCTTCCCTTCAAAACCACAATGAAGACTTTAGCTGATATTTCTCTGATCTCCCTGGGTCTCTTGATCAACCCAGATGCTTCCTCATGTGGTTCACTTCATGGCACACCATGCCTTCTGTTCTGGGGGATCTGTGAGTATAAAACTTCTTCCTTGATGACAGACTTTTCCATCTCTCTCTGTACACTTAACACTATCAGAGATGCCTTGAAGTTTAGAGGTTGAGGAGCCTTAGTGAGCTAGTCTGTTCCAGGGATGCTGAGGCAGAGATATTTTACAATGAAAATGTGTCTGTGAGCAGTGGGCTTGGAATAATCTCACATGGATCCCTCTGAACTCTCCTCTACATGCTCCAGAAAACTTGGCATTCTTTCTCGGCCTTCTCAAGACTTATATGTTGAGAGGGGATGATGGGTGCTTTTTTCTTTGAGCTATGTGGACTGGACTCCATGCAGCTTCTCCAGCAGTGACAGACTTCTGGTGGAATGGGAATGTGTGCATGCTGTAGACAGTTATGTCCTGCAGGAGTGTTGGGGGGGGGGGCAGGGGACAGTGTTCTCATGCTTTGGTATGGATAAAGGAACTCACTTGTAAGAACAGAAACCCTTTCTTTTTGTGGGCTTGGATGATGAGCTGCTCCAAAGCAATAAAAGCCTGGCTCTGTGCAAGTCTAGGTAGAGAGATGACTACCTCTAAGATGATTGAGATAAAATATCTTATTTCTTCTGTGTATGGGAGTTTGGGAACCTGGTTGGTTTCATTGATAGAAATAAAATCTATCTGCAACCATGAGTTTGTAGGGAGGAAAAAAGTCCTGCCAATTATACTAATGTTTTTCTAAAATTATCTGAGAAGAGGTTGTAAATTGAGAACCTGCCTATAAACCAGATGTGGTGGTCCATGCCTGTAATCCCAGTACTTCAGAGCTCAGATATAAACATCTCAATTTCCAGGCCAGCCTGGACTGCACAGAACAACTTTGCTTCTACAAAAACAAAATAAGCAAACAAAATAATAACAAAAGAAAAACTAAGCTGATTGAACACTAGGTACCCAAAATGAAGAGCACTTCCCTCCAATTTTTGCAGAAGCCATTCTCCCATAAAATAGTTTTCCCCCCTACATGTACACAAAATTAATGGCTTGCCAGACTAAAAAAAAAAACCCATTAACTCTCAAACTGATTGGATTTATGCAATATACCTGTGGTTGCATCATAGCATTTAGCTCATTATAGATTGTGTTGTCTTGTAATACCTAGTCACACTTCCTCATCAAAAAAGGCAATGTGAATTTACAGAGACTCAGTGTACAAATAAGGTGGCATAGCAGCTGCCGCCACAAGGCTTATGATAAAGCTGTCAGTAAGAACTTTGCTAAATAACATTACTCTGGGTATTTCTATTCTGGGTAGAACAGGTTTTTGTTGTGGTAAAAACAACCCCAAAGTCCTAGAAATTAAGGCAACATGTTTATTTTTACTCATATGTATATTGTGGGTAGTCACCCAGAAACTG